GATGCAGAGGACAGCGTCGTGCGACCTTGGAGTTGGTCTGCGCGCGCCGAAACTCCCGGGGACTGTGTTTTTTGTGACGAGCCGGTCCCCGCGGATGTCAACCCAGATCTGTGCGCTGCTCCTCGCCCTCCCCTGGTAGCTTCTGTCTGATCCTGGGGAACGATGTCGGGCGACACGTGGGAAATGGGACTAGCTGCTGAGAGCGTACGGTACCTGAGAGTGTACTAGACATGGTGCAAATAGACGAAGGGTGTGGTGCAAGTACCTTGCACACTCCCGCTCTTAAGGTTTTGGATGCCAAACTCAAAGTCCACCGATCACTGACTAGAGACCAGCCTTCCATTCCATCTGGGGAGCTAGAACCCGTCTTGTTTCAAATCCTACAGCTCGAAATGGTTTGAATTGTCGCCCACCAACCACGCTTCCCCGCGTTGACGAGACCATGGAAGGGTTGGATACCGGGCGTCCAGCAGCGGGCGCAATCCAACCCCACAACTGGACCTCCTCGGCTCTCGATGCTTCATCGTAAGCTTCCAGGGAACCAGCTCGCCCACAACTCCACCGGCAACAAGACACAATATCCAACCTGCCAGATTCACCACGGTCCCGAGGGTCCAAATCATCGGCACCTGCCTACCTTCCGCGCTGCACACAGACCGCCCTTGTGACACCTGTCAAAGTTCAAAGCAGAGCACCACTCACATCATGACTACGCAACCGACTAGTAGCAACAACATCAAGACTAAGCCTAGCCTGACGTTTCCAGATTGGCATATCCAAGAATAGTCATGTTCTGGGTTGTTCCAGACACCAGTAGACCTGGCTCAATGTTTGCCCCCCTTTTTCAGAGGCCTCCCCTCCTGAGCAACGTAAACAGACACCACGCCCAGTGGGCCAAGCATAACGAACCATAAAATAACACCCCCAAAACGCTATCCTATCATAACCGCTATACAATACAAGTAAACCATCTAATCCGCTCTTCTGTGTACCACCTTTTCTTGAATGTGCTCGGATTTATTTCCAGAGCAACCATTCCACAGGCCAAATACAATACGCATCGCCACTTTAGTGAAAGTGGTAAAGCGCAGCCCATACTCGCAAACTCTAGCATACACCCTTCCAAGATCGAGCCCGTTCCCATCCTTCGCTACCAGATTGGGTTACAGTCACGTCCGGACCTTCTATACTAGGGAAGAGGCTCCGTGGTTTCTGCGTCCTTAGAAGGCTCTGTTGGCAGGCTGTCGCTGGGAGCAGGGTCGGCGACATTAGAAGAGGGAGCTGTTTCAGTAGCCCCCGGCAGTGGCGGTGTCGGTGTCTTCTGGCCTTTTACGCTGCTTGCTGCGCTGCTAAGCGCCTCCTGCCGATTGAGTTCCATTTCGAGGCTGCTGAGCAGGTTGACGCCGTCAGCCTCATCTGCCGTGACAGCGGGAAGCAGATTCGGCGATTTGGGCGGGGAGGGCGCAACGGACTGGGTCTCAGCCGGTTCGGATTTGGGAGGAGTCGAAGAGGCTGGTGCGGCTTGGGGTTCTGGCGGTGGTTCTGAGATCTCGAAGGTTGGTGGGGGGACCTCGGGCTCCTTCTCACCCACGGTCTCGTCCAGATTGGTGGTGACAGGGGTGGCTTGTGGTTCGTCAACCGTTTCTGGCAGTTCCTCGACGCGGCCAGATTCTGCAATGCCACCGGGAACATCGCCCTGAAAAGGTGGCTTAGTGTAGTCCACGGACGTAGCAGAAGTGAATTGTTCTGTGACTTCACCACCAGTTGACGTGGTTGTTCCGGAAACAAACGTCTCAGTGACAACAGTACCCGAGTTGCTGATGTCCATGGACATGCTCGTCGCTATGTAGCTGGAGCCAGAAAAGGATGCCGTCGTTGATGCTATTGGGGGCGAGATCATCGGCGAGGGATCTGTTGGAGACTGAAGGATGACGTTCTTCAATGGGCTGCCCTCGATTCTAGGCGATGCCAGGTGTGTCGGGGGATTTAATGGGCCGAGGACTGTTGGAGGAGCAAAGCGGGATTTGGGAATCGTGATGTCCTCTTCCTCGGAGATCGTAGCACGCGGGGTGTCTTCTGATTCCTCAATCGAACTGGGTCGGATGACTTCGGATGACTCTGAGTCGCCCATTTCTTGATCCTGGTCCTGATCTTGCGGGTTGCTGCTGGCAACATCAGGCGTTCGATCACCCTCTTCATCACCCTCCTCACCCTCCTCATCTCCTTCATCTCCATCATCACCCTCCTCGTCGTCGGAGGGAACAACAGAGGCGTCAGCCATCTCGGTATCCTGGTCCTGGTTTGTGCTGCCATCCACCTCCTCAATCTTGATGCCCTATCCGCAGGATTAGCATTCTGTCTAAACTTCTCAATGTGCCGCAGTAAACCTACATCAGCACTAACCGTCTCTGGCTTTACCTGAGCCGAATTCTCGCCACCTTCGGCAGTTGGCAGGGGTCGGGGCAATGGCACCTGAACACCAATCTTGCCCTTCTTCCGACCTCGACCGGGGCCCTTAGCCTTTCGCTTGGGCGGCGGAGGCCTTCTCCTGGCTGGTGTCGGTTGCTGCGCAGCGATGTCCGTATTTGCAGCGGCCGGCGCCGGAACAATTGATTCCGAAACGATATCCCCATCGACCGTCTGCCCCTCCGCTAAAGTCACCGTCTGCTCGTAAGGGTTGCCCGCTGCGTCTGTCCGGCGAACCGTAACCCTTCGGACTGTCGGACCAACGATCTGCGGTGCCGATGCCTTGGAAACCAGCACGATCGTGTTCTTATGACGCTTCGCAAGGTGCGATATGTCCTCCACATTGCGCGACGACTGCTTCCACACCTTCACCATGTACCCGCCAGCGGCAGGGTCCAGGTCCTTCTTGTCGCCCTTAACGTCCGCGGCATCGGCATCAGCGTCGTCCTCCTCGGCCGCAGCGGGGCGCTTGTAAAGGCGACCGGATCGCGCCGCACGAAGAAGTTCCTGGCTATGGGGTTGGAGGAGGGTGTACTCCTTGGGCATGCCAAACGGAAGCTCGGGGGCCCAGCGATCGTTTTGCTGAGTGGTGTCCGGGGGCGCGGCGGGCGCAACATTCACCCACTCCTGGCGCCATTGTCGCACGGGGAGGCCTAGCACAAGAGGAGGTCAGCGAACTGGATGGAATTTGGGCGCGACGAGTTTGCGCAAACACAACATGGGGACACACACCCTCGAAGTCGTCATGTTCAGGGTAGCCGCCGCGAGCGCCGCGACGGGTCTGCGTCGCTGTGCGGAACTGCTTGGACATTGCGACGGAGCGTTAAGCCAAGCACCGTTGCTTGGCCCAGTCGCCCAGCAAACGGAAAGACAGGAGCGCCGCGTTCAGGATCCTGCCCCGAGCAGCGAGTCGCAAAAGTGGTGAGGGCTCGGGAAGCTTTCTGCTAGGGGTGGCCAATCGCTGCAAAGTGGCGCCTTTGGCGTTTTTGGCGACTCGAAATAGAATGCGGCTCGATGGTGGAATTCACTTGTCGATGTTATATATGTCTCGTATCATGGTACCTCTAGGAATGGCGACCAAAAAGTGAATGTGGTTGACAGGCTGGAGGTGTCGCGCAATTGGAGCTCGCTTCGTCGCGCGACAGGATGTTTCCATCGTTCAGCTGCAGCCAACAGGTGCATCGGCGAAACACCGGATATAACGATAGCCGAATAAGTGCATGCCACCACACGCCGTTGCGACCAACGTGGGACAGATTGTAAACCGGTAATAAGTTTGGTGGAATATTCATGGTGCTGTGGCATACGATTTGCAGCATTGATTTTATGTATTTGGTTGTGCCCTTCATGGCTACTTTGAGCTGTTGACCGAGTTGCGAGGCTGTCCGCTCCCTATCCACAACCTGCCCTCAACTCCTCCTACTTTATATGTTCCTGGTATAATATCTATGCGCCCGAAGCCTCTCGTGCCTATCCTACAATTACCCATGGGGATGGTGTGCGGGCAAATCTGAAGCATTGGTTTGCCCTGTGTCTGGTCGTCCGCTCAAAGCTCTCTGGTCAAAGATGCCTCAAGATCAATCCCAGCTGTAGTGAAGTCAGCCAGCATGCTCCCAACAATGCCCATTGAATTTCACGGAACTTACCCGGTATCCTTCTGCCTCAAGGTGCCTCCTTTCCCGCCCTGGTCTTTGCCCTGGAATTGGTGTCAGCACGAATCCCTTGGCCTTCAAGAAGTTCCTCAACCTACCGACAACCCTCCCTCCACCACCAGTCTATCCTGCTGGTAAAACTGGCTGATCGTCGTTTGCCGCTGTATTAAAAAAGCTAAATGTCAGCCACACCCTCCAAAGCCAAGCCAACCGCACAGTCCATCCATCCTCACCTTCAACATCTGAAGCTCCTTCAGTCCCTTCTGCACCAGCTCCTGCACCCGCCGGGGGTCCTCGACGTTCTTGTTCTCTCGGAATGCGTCCCTTGTCCGGCGCTTCGCATACTCTCTGAAGTTGTACGCGGCGAATTGGTTTCCCTGGCGGAGGAGCTGTCGGTACTGTCGAGAGAGCGAAACCGTCAGCCATCGCAGTCTAAAAGGCGCCCGCCCACATCTCGCCCGAGGCGCAGCGAATTGGGCAGTGCAGACTCAAAACCCAGACGGTCGACATACCAGGGACAACACCTTCTGCGCCGACTCGCCTCCGGCGACGGCTGCGACCGACATGTCTGTCTGCCTCCCCTTCCTAGGACTTGGGTGTGTTCGCCTCTTTGCTATAGCCGTTGACCGAGTTTTATTATATCGTCGGCGTTGGTGGTGTAAAACAACAGTCTGTGTCGTGGTCGTGGCAGATCGTCAAGTGCACCGTCTCGCCAATTTCGATGTTGCGAAAAAGCGATTCTCTCAAATGCGGCCTATGACGGAAGACGCGGGCGGCGAAAGCTCGGCACCGAGCCTCTTGCAAGATAGACCCCGATTTAACGATTTTGTCGCAGTGCGGCAACGCCTTGACGCCCTTTTCAAACGTAACCGAATATCGAAAGCGGGTTTAGCTCAGTTGGGAGAGCGTCAGACTGAAGAATTAACTTCATTCAATCAATTCAATTGATATCTGAAGGTCATGTGTTCGATCCACATAAACCGCAACCATCACTTTTGCCGGTGATGTTGGGTTCACATTTTGCATCTCGAGTTCACAGTTTTGGTACTCTTTTTCAGGAGCACTCAGGGGTGTTGGGTTGGAATGTGTTCAAGGAAGGCGCGAAGATGAGTGCTTTCCTCGAGTAAGGGAAAAGGGGGGGATCCAGTCGCCTCGTTTGTGTCCACACATCTTCGACCTATTGCCTGGCAGCAGAAAGACCTTGAATGTATTGAAAACAAAAAGCTCCAAAATGCCAGGGAAGGCCTTTGGGTCATGAATAAAGATGCCGTGATATACCTCAGGCGTAGTGCACTTAGTCTGAGAGCATGACGCATGCAAGCAGTCAGCAAGCATTTTCTTTTCTTCACGGCCAAGTTAGTGATCATGGAAATGACTCTTCACAACGATTTCTCCCATCCTGACGGGTGAAGCAAATAAATTATATTCGAGCAGTTTACTCCTTACCAAAAGCCTTCGCAAAGTCCTGTCCACCGTCCGATTCCAGCCTAGAAGCCAACCAAGATACAGATACTATACCTAGTTTTCCACACTAACACCGTTCAACACCAATCTCGCCGCTAGTGGAAAATACACCATAAATGCATAGCTCACGAATAATACATTCCTGAGCCCGGAATGGGCCCCATCCCGGGTCCGAGAGCCCAGTTGTGCATCCCAGCAGGGAGGGACGATGGCACCGGATCCATGTAGTACTCGAGCTGGCCCTCGTACCCGTCGGACTCCAGAGGAGATGGGTGATAGTATTGTTGAGGCGCTGCATGCGGATCGTATGGCTGAGGCTCTGGTTGCTGACCTGTTGGAGGGCCGAGACCACCGGCTGCCTGGATCAGCAAGTTGAGGTTGTTGGGGGGTTGGGTAGCATTCATCGCCTGCTGAGCCTGCACCTGGGCCTGCGCTGCTTGAGCGGTCTGCATGTGAGGGGGCATTGGCTGCTGCGGCTGCTGCTGGATAGGCGAGTGGACCGGCTGGCTTTGAGCGGGTGGCGGAACCGGAGGAAGCCGTAGATTGGGATCGATATACATGGACGAGGCGTTCGGCGCCTGGGAGAGGGCATGCATATTGTTGTCAGTCGGGCTTTGTGAGCTGATATTGTTCTCCTCTGCTGGCGACAGAGCCTTGATAACTTGCGCCTGCGAGTGTGGCGGATGGTGCAAGAGAGGGGGAATCGGGTCTCTCTGCGAAGATGATCAGTCATGTGAGTTCGCGACAGAGGTTTGAGCGTCTTACACTATCCGCCATGCTACCCTCTGTTTCCTTCGACATCCCATTTCGAGATTTGTAGAACTCTTCGAGGTGGGCATGCCATCGACCCGCCAGCGGCCAAATGTCCTTGCTCGAGCCGAGAATTGTAAGCGTGAGCTGTACAATACTTCGAGCTTTGGCCACAACGGTGGGCGAAGCATCGACTAGAAATCTGTCAGCAGAGACCCATCACTGGGGATCAAGATTGCCATACTCTTGGATTTGCACAAGTAGGATGCAAGGAAGCCACAGGTGTAGATGATAAAAGCCTAAGCGCTCTCGATCAGCATCTTCAACATAAGTAAAGCAAAGGGTTTACGAACCGCCATCTGGCCTCCCATGCCCTCTTCACCAGACAAATCATGGTACTGGGTCTCGATTTGCTCATACAGGCACTCGACGTTGTCGAACAGCTCCCTGGCCATGGGCTTGAAGTACTTGATATATGCAGGATCCGACCTGTTACAGTTGATCATCCTGTAGACGAATTAGCACTCATTTTGATAGGAGAGGTTGGCGTTTGAGCACCGGCACATACTCAGGTAAATATGCCTTGCGGACAACAATATTGCAGAGCCGCGTGACCATAGTGACGCCCAAGTACGCCAGGTCTTGGCCAACGGTCTTATGGCCCTTCAGAAGCACCTTGCTCCAGCGGTGGTCGCTAGGGAGGTCATTCTCCCATTCGGCGAGCCGCCTCTTTATCGAAGCATACTCACTCGTCTCATCCCATGGGTTGGGGCACTTCTCATTCTGGATCGCCCGTCGAGAGATGGTTCCCCAGTAGGAGTGTGATTGGATCAGCGAGGCAAACAGAGACTTGTCTTTGAGCCGGGTAAGCTCTGGATTGGCCTTTGCAGGCGGTGTGTCCTCCAGGGCCGCTCTCGATGTGGGCTGGCGCGCTTTTATGAAGTCTGCTTCATTGCTGGGCAGCAGCGTAGTGATATCACCCGCTGATAGAGATATCGGGGACTTTGGACCCGAATGCAGGTTGTCCTGGCTGTGCAACATCCACTTTATGCTGTCAGTCAGGGAACCGTGTGATGGGCAGACGACAGCAAACTCACCAGCGTCCGCCGTGCCGATTCCAATTCAATGACGGCCTCATCGATGAGGTTTGGCACCTTATACGTCTCCTCCCGATGCAACTGCAGGATGGTCGCGATCTTGACAGCGATGCCAAAGTTGATGGAGCTCTGGTACTTCAAGCCACTCCCCTGCTGCGAGATGCTGAGGAGATAGAAGGCCTGGCACCTTTCCAGGGTAGGCGCTCGGTACAGTTCATTTAGCGCCAAGTGTGACGCTCGCTCCATGAAAACCTCGGCAGCTCCTACAGTCCCGCCATATCGCTCGACCAGCGAGGGCGTCAACCTCGCCGAGACGCTCAGGAGACTCAGCAGCAGGAAGACACTGACGGAGCGGTGGTTCGCCCTCAGCCGTTCCGGGAAAGACTCCTTGTGGATGAACCCGAGCTGGAAGTAGTGGCGCGTGAAGCGGTTGACCGAGTCGATTACCTCAGGCAACGGCGGCAGCAGATCCCATTCATCAGCTCCCTTCGGCACCCGCGGCCGCGGCACACCTGGCAGCGGCGCGGTCGGCGAGCGGATCACAGGGGCGTCCAGAATATCTCGACGGACCTTGACCGGATCACGCTTGCTGCTCTTCTCCGACCTCATGCGAGGATGGCGATAGTCACGGTCATGGTCCGGCTGGCCACGGACAGGAAAGATGCTTGGCACGGCGAGTTAGCACCACCAGACGAGGCGATTCCCAAGCAAAAAGGATGAATTCCAAGGAAAAACACAGCACCGTACCAGTCGCTGGCTCCCAAACCCGCCTCTGCGCACGCCTGGCATGGAGCCTTGCCCTTCTCATGTATGCATTTGCTTCGCATTCGCCGGCACCTAAAGCCATCATCGCCATGTCAGAATGTTGCTTGCAATTCAGCCTGGTAGGTAGGTTTCCAAAACAGCTACCAGCGGGGACAGTGAACGGGGCCAACAAAAATACCACTCAGTCTACCATCCGGCAAACCTGGCGAGTCCACCTACCTCCGGCAGGCGATTGGCGATCTCCGTTTTATGGCAGCGGGCTGGGCTTGTTGCTGCTGTTGTGCGGCCACGGGCAGCGAGGCCGTTTCGGCGGGTAACGAGGTCATCTCCGCGTCCATTTCGCGCACGCGACAGCACGCCTGCTTTCACCCAAGATTTCCCCCCCAAGATTCGAGTCCGAGATAGCCTCAAACCACACCGCAAAGAAAAGATGCAATCAATCGAGCAAGCAGGACGAGCAGAAGCTTATTGCCGCAGCGGCTTCACAACCAGTGGAGACTGGGACTTTTGGTTCCGGCAGGCAGAAGTCCTCACTCTGTCGGCAGGCGCACTCAACGTTAGCGCGGGGGAGAATGGGAGCAGTAGGAAGGGGGACTTGCCGGTTCCCCCTCACTTTGCGGGTTCTCGCGGCAACTTAAAAGACGAGCTAAAAACGCGCGACCTAAATTCACAGAGCGGCGGGCAATTTTTCCTAGCCCTGAAGTCACGATCGCGAAACGGAGCTGTTGATGAGAGGAAAAAAAGACAGCCCATCATTTCCTCATCTCTCAATAGGCACCAGAGCACACAAACATACCGGACTTCCCTCACAAAATTCCATCCCAAGAAGAGAAAAAAGCAACTCCTTCTGCAAGAGACGGCCCGGCATTTCGCTTCCCGCTCAGACCAACCCATCAAATCCCAGCGTCCGGGGATACCACCCGAACCTGGCCCGTTCCATAACGCCACACCTGTGTCACTGTCACTGTCACTGTCACACTTCATCACCAACAGAAACCAGCGGCACCATCACATCTTTTCGCCATCTGCGCCATTTGCGGAGAAGTACATAACCTGCGGCTTACGCTCCTTATTTCCAAGTTTCCCCCGGAGCCCTCTCGTGAAGAGCTCAGGTCATTTGGGGATGAGCCGAGCCAGCCGCTGCCCGCTCAGCCCAACCAAGGAGATGGCAGAGCTCGAACTGAGAGCCAGACTCTCAAAAAGCGAGAGCGTCTACCCGACACCTCAGTCTTTCAACTCGCTGCCCGGTGTTCACCCCACGCATGTGTCAGCCAAAACGAGCCCTTTGCCTAACAAACCTACCACCCATCCTGATTGAGTTGCGTCCGAAGGAACAGCGAAGGGATCCAGGGTCCTCTCCCGGACTCGATGGCTCATAAACTTTTTAAGGTAAAAAAAGCGGGCGCCCCTCCCCCACCTCTCCATTCCCTGCACTGCCAGACCGAGAGTTGAGCCTTGGAAGTCTGTGTGCGTTCTTGATAGGTGGAACCACCTGCAAGGTTACAAAACTCACTCATGCTCAACATATCTGATCGTCCATACAGAGAGCCCGGGGCTCAGGAAAGGGAGGTATTCAATCATTTGTTGCTGCAAGTCACTGCTTCGGGGGAATGTGGGATTTATTCCAGATCTACCAAGCCTTGGCAAAGATGACTCCGATCACTCGATCGGGTCTTGCCGGATTTCAAAGATCTCGCCCACTGCTCAAGCATGGTGCTTGCTGCGATTCAGAGGCCATGTGGTCTTCCATAATCCCAAGCAAACAACTCCATACACGTAGCCCCGTCATGCCGTGCAGGAACTCCATGCCCACCGTGGCAACCACCAAGGTCCTCCCGCCCGAACTCCAACTCGTTCACTTGAACAAGATTACGCCCGGCTCAACCTCCCAACCCTCCCTTCCTTTTGT